AACATGATGGAAAGCAGACATCGCAAGCACCTCCAAATCACTGTAGGCTTCAGGTCTTGCAATAGCTGCACCCTAAATACCGTATTTACTCGAATAAACGCCGTCCCCGAATAGACGCCGCCCTCAAATAGACGCCGCATCTGGGTGCGACGTCAATTTGAGGAAATAATGATACCAGCAATGGGAATTTATTTTCTTTAAGAACATTTTTTATTTCGAAGTTTGATCTCAGCAGCTGTTAGGTTCCGACCACGAGGAGGACATTGATGTTGAAATGGTTAAAATCATAAATTGARTCGACAAAATGAACACATCATTTTTATATTGAGATTCGTTACTGTTTGTTAGTAAAAAGATACAATATAAAGTACGATATGTAGTACTGAATAAAGTGTTGTTTTAATAAACGCCGCCACCGAATAGACGCCGCCCTCGAATAAACGCCGCAGCTGGGTCGTGAAAAATGAAATACTACTATTCGAGTAAATACGGTAGTGAGGGGAGGCAYGTGCCCCACCAAAACGTTTGGTAAATTTGATAAAAACCTAAAATATACGATTTTTGCAAGCTTTTTACTATATTATTGCTGTTATCAGTTACAAAACATTAGGAACAACATATTCTTTGCAATGTTAATAGGTTCTCTAGCTGTGAATGAGACTTCATGGGAAAACCGTGCTGTTGTTCTCTTGTATAGGATAGCTKCTTTCCAACCGCGGATGTGAAGATTGTTTCTAGAAAACGCTATTAATTTCTGTCTGTTTTACGGAAGGGGGAGTGAGTCGCATCAGTGTATTAAACCATAATTAATAGTTATTCACTATATTTAAGACTTGCATTTTTGCAAAGTTATACAAGGATTCATAGAGTAGTTTTCATTAACCCGTGAAACACACTTTAGCGTATTTATCACTATATTACACTTCGGCTCTTTTGTTTTTTATTGTCTCTACGCTACTATTACGATCTATTACTCTACACTAATTACTTACACTTTGTTTCACGGGTTTATGAAAACCACTCTAGTTGAAAAGTTTTCTTGTTATGTGTCCACAATCAAAATCGTATACAGCAAAAGGAAAAAGGTTCGTAATGTTTGATCAATTAGTATTGCTTCCGCACAATTTGTTTTTAGTAGTCCGCTATCATTAATAAAACTAAAAGAGGCAACGAAACCAACCTCCCCGATCAAAGTGGAGCTTCGTCTGTGGCTGACGTATATCCTTGATGTATTCAAGTATTGTCCTCTCTTTCCTCAAAGTGCAAATGAAAATCAATGCCAGAGGAGCCGTTGTTGAAGTATATCGGTGTGGATACACTGTACTTTTTGCAAAAGCAAATTCCTTTTTATTATAGACTGTACTAACGTACCCCATTATCCCGAATATCACTTATAATAGCAAAATGCAAGCTTGATGTGTTTGCACTAGTGACGCAAATCACGGGCAGACACACTACAGACAGTTTAAAAATGACTAATATCAGTCCTCATAACTCCGTTTATAATGCATATAAGATAATCCCATCTTCTCTCCAGAGTGCAATATTTGTTTTTCAGCTTTTCGGATAATGTCCCTGATTTCATTTTGATTTTGTGGAGTATTTTTGACTGTCTTGTGTTTTTTAGTGGCTTTCATTGCTAGCTTGAGATAATCCTTAGCGATTAGCAACTTTTTTCTTGCCACATTCATTTTCCATTTTGTTTCTTCTGTTTTTGATTTAAACTTTTTCTCGCTTTGTCCGTTTTGTACAGCTTGTGCCTCTGAGACATCTTGATTGTTATTTCCTTCATCATGTCGACCTGGAAAGAAGTGAAGTCCAATTTAATCTCTCTCACTCATAGTGATGTTTTTAGGATTGTCGTGAATGGTTTCTTGTAAGTCGGTATGTAATCACCAGTATGGTGGCGTGTGACTTTGTGTTTTAGTGTATACAATGGCTGATGTTTGATGGATCATTTCCCTGGTGCAGATACAGGACAAGTGGATATATTACTAGCAGGTGATCAGTTTGTCTCTAGTTGGATGTGATATTGAATTCATCAAGCATGCATGCACTCACTTCAACGGCTAGTAAACACTACCCTTCATTCCCCTCCGCCTAAGTAATCAAAGTAGTATAAGCCCAAGTAATTATTACTGAAATTTTGACGGCTAGGCCTTCAGGAACGCCAGTGTAAATTTTGTACTGAACTGAGTTAAGTTTAATTGGCTGCTCATTCTACTCTACACTTTGGACTCTTAGTCATATTTAAATATATTCTAAATAGGTTTTATGGATTGTTAAAAGATTCTATAGCTATTAGTGATGGAAGTGATGTCATTGCTGCTGAATACAAGTTTTAAATGAGATACGCACCTACTTGCGAAAACGTTGTCATAAAAAATAGGAAATTTGTATTTATAGTAAAAAGGAATAAATTAAAAAGACAAAAGAAGATCACTGAGGCTGGACGCTTCCTCAGTTTTGTCTTGCTTTACTTTACTAAATTCAAATGTTTTATTTTCTATGACAACGTTTCTGCAAGTAGATGTATATACAATAAGACTATCACATCATCACGTCCGTTTTGATGAACAATCGATTACTAATGATTATGCAATACCGTTTTTTCTATAATTTCAAGTATTGCGATAACGTAAGTATTCTATCGCACAATGAAATTTYTTTGACTATTTTAACATGTAACCAGTAGACCGAAATGGTAACTGAACGCAGTGATGAACGAAATGGATAAGAAATTAATGACTGCCTTTTCATACCTTTTCTTGAAACAGTGATTGAAGCATAAATAACTACCAAAAACATTATCAACAGAAATCGTTTCGTCATGGTGCCAACAGAACACCAGCCGTTTAATAGACAGACTTCACTCGTTCTTTGCTGGTACCTTCAAATTCGTTTTCCAAATAAAGCAGTGACGTCATACAGATCATATTTACAGTGTATAAGCAATTTCCTGTAAAGTTGCTTTTCTGAGTGACGAGTGAAGTCAGTACGAAAGAGTTTAGAAATATCTTTCTCTACTACTAATGAATTTAAGCAAGATCAGTATTCTTATAGCTTTCTGTCAGTCAGAGCTTATTAGCGTTTTAATACCGGAGCGCTTAAATAATGCGACTCTGCTCGTTCATAATACTCAGAAATGAATTTCCAAGAGCTAAGACACTGAGTTTTCCATGGTACTGTGTTTGCCTAATGTCCCTAATTTTGACGACACTTAAGAATGTGAAGTTTGGTTTTCCCAGACAGACATATAATACAACTTCGTCTAGTTTAATGTAAACGATTCGCGGTTTAGTCAGGTGCAATCTGAGAATTTCCTTATAAAAAATGTCTTTGAAAGTTTTTCTGGGAACGGGTCACTGAAATCAATCATAACAAGTGATAAATTGCAATTTTGCAAAAGATGACATTTTTGTTATTAAAACGTTTGACGTGAAAAGATGTCGATTTTTTGGCAGTGTCTAATTGTGATGTAAAACTGAAAGAGTGCCTTGTCATTATGGATGAAGTCCAAGATGTCAGTACTGCCGGATGGCAGGCAGTGAGCAGCTGTTTAAATACAACTATAAAATCACATCGTGAACGCTCAGGATACTTCAATTCATTTATAACATATCGTGAGACTATTCAATGGCGCCATGATGTTATAGGTATATCACATTTTATAGGAGAGATTTTTATGACTGGTTTTAAATATACCCAAGGCTCCTCAACGGTTTTTAGGCCTTTTCACAGTCATAATAATGAATAATTTCACTGACAATTTTATCATAGTACTGTCGCAGCTTTATGACTTCATTAAAGTACAGTAAAGTAATAAATGTAGAAAAAAATTGTTTTACGGGAGTTACGTGCGCGCCCCAGCTCGCGATAATAATAGGAAAACAAATGTGTCCCAAACACGACCATTCTAAATTCATAGTAGCATCTTAGTTGTAGTAAGCTTCAGAGAAAACTTCGTTGATGACTTTTTTTTTCTATTAGACTAACAGTGGTAGTTTTATAATATACGTGTTTTAATAGAAATCTTGGAAAGTGAAGTGAAGTGAAGATTCGGAAGCTTTTCAGCCATCTTGTGACGTCACTACGAACCGAAGATTTTGCACACGCGCAATAAGCGCGCGAACTCGACTCGCTGGAAACTAGTCGCGACTCTCTTCACATCACTGACTTGGTTGTATATTGTCAACATTTTCGCTGTTTTCTTCTATGATATTCACTCTATGACTTTAAAAACACAATGAAAAGAAGAACTATTGATCCTTCGAAACTTCGGAGACATGGAAGGCGATCTCGGATCACTGAATCCATCTACGGAAGGTGAAAAAGAGAGCCATATTTTCTCCTCTATGTTATTATAGCAAAACTAAACAGATTTTTTTCACTTTGAATTCCCATGTGGTAATATTGATTTTCCTGTATTTGCAGTGTATTTTTATATATAAGGTTTTTCTTGGTATGGATATTGGTGCTTACTGCCGATTTTCTCTTGGAGTTTCGCTTCGAGTATTTGTGGCCTTTTTGGCTGCTTTTGCGAAGTGCCTACGACTCATTCAAATATCAGGGACTTGTGAGTATACCCAGACATCTTATTCATATTTCGTCCATACATTGCCATTTCCAGCTAAGAAGTTGAAGAATACATAATAGAGTGTTAATAGTATGCTATCTTTGTGGTTTTGTGTTGCTATTTTGACGTCCTTTCGCATCATTTTTACCTGTAGGCTTTCTCACTGCTATTCCTTGCCTTAGCGTTGTGCTCTGATCTGATATGTCTAGTCCTTCTTCCTGTACACTGGTTATTTTTCGCTGCAAGTACATACGTATGGGTACAGTTTGTTTGGCATACAGGTAAGCTTTTGCTTAATATTTCGTCATGGAACAAGTCGGCATAATCATATTTTTCATATGTTTCTTTCACATTTCAAATATGGCAGACAAGCTGAGTCACTCCAATCTTGTATGACCTTTTGCTTCAAGTTTACCAGCCGGTCTATTCGTTACATTTGTAATCCTTTCCTTATAATTTGTCCTGTTTTTCTTTTCAGATCGAGGACTTTGCTTACCAACAGTAAGCCTATGGCTGTTATTCGTGTATGTCGAGGCTTCAGTCAGATTACGAGAGTTAAAAAGTCTGCCATTTCATTTAGATTTATGCCGGCCTTTCGCAGCCCACTGGTAAGTTGAAATAAGTTCAGAAATTCTCCCTGAATGTTAAAAATGTGTATACTAGGTTGTTTATTTTTCCTGGTTGGATTTAGAATGGGTTAACGCTCTGCGAGGGTAAGCTTACATACAATGTAAGTTTATCCCTTGATGAAAATGTACAATCCATAAAGAATCAACGATTTGCATAAACTGAATATCACCAATTCCTGAATTTAACGTGTAACAAAAAGAACGTATGTGAATTTATTATATTGAAATTGAAAATGAACTCTCTACTGACCTATATAAAAACAAAGAAATGGCTGGGTTTTTTTTGTTGTTGTTCTAAAAAGACAGATGTTCTGTTCTGTGGAAGTCTCCTATTCTCTGTACACCTCGGTACAACTTTTTCTAATCATTTTTTTAGGAAACCTCTGAAGATATATGATAATCGTAGTATTGGTGTTTAGGAACATCTTGACGTCTCTTGACCCTAATCTTAAGAAATACTTGTTTTATTCATTCAAATTTTTTCCCTTTATACTGATGGTTCCAGATCAAACATGAATAATAACAATGTGTTATATTAATAAGCTACATAAATTGTTCAATTTTAGGTTTTTTTATTAAACATATTTTTTTAGAAAGATGATGAATGTGTTGGGCATAATAAGTGAGCAACAATGGGTTGACATATGCCCACCTGTTGGCTGAGTAGCGGTCTAGAGAATGGACCAATAGAGATCCTACCAACAGTTTTTGAATGGTTTAGACATGATTTGAATCTAAGTTCTCATTTAAGTCCAGGCTTATCCTAATTTATTTGTTTATGTTTCCTATCTGTGGTTATCATATTGCAGTATAACTAACCATTTATTGTGGTTATCTTGCTGTATTGCAGTATAACCAACCATTTATTGTGGGTATCTTGCTGTATTGCAGTATAACTAACCATTTATTATGGTTATCTTGCTGTATTGCAGTATAACTAACCATTTATTGTGGTTATCTTGCTGTATTGTAGTATAACTAACCATTAGGGATCACAAGGAGTAATTCATTTTATTGTAGAATGTGATGTATCCTAGATGTATTTAATTAATTCATTGTTATATATAATACAGCTTCCAAATGATTATTAATAGAAATCTATGATTGATAATATATTACCGTTGGCTGGTCAGAAATGATAGGTTTTCTGCCAAAATAAATTGGTTATTATTGTGAAAAGACTTCAACTCATTCATTAACGTTCTTTTTCTTAAAGTTCATTAAAAAAATATATTGTGTCCCCTCACAATAACATCACATTAAAAAAATACGCAGTCAAAGACTGCATGTGACTCAGGCCAAAAATATAGGCTAATGAAATGGGTTGAAAATGTAGATAAGAATTGTACTCTGATAGAGTTAAAAAAAGGTTATTGATAGTAGTGGTAGCTGTGAACTATGAAAAGTTATGTGGACCACTCTTAATAGTAAATAGTTATGAAGTGAATAGACATTTATTTTGTAATGCTGTAAAATACTAGTGAAATTAGTTTAAAAATAATTTTTACCACTCATTGGCAAAAGAGTCAAAAAGAGCAATGAAGTCAGTTTTTTTAAACGAAATTAGAATAACATGCATTTTAATCACATGAACACATTTGTAACACTATCAACTCAACTTTAAACATAGCCAAACTTTACAAGTTTTACAGCATTTTTAATTATGTTATTACATGGAATAATGTTGAGAACTTTTTCGCTGACTTTTTGTATAAAAAGATTGCTATTGATAAAAAGACCTAATCTGTGAGATTGCATTAACTTTTTTTACTATTGTGGAAATTAGGCAAAAATGATCATCTAAGTGATGTTCTCATGTTTGAGAATTAATACAAATTTGTACAATTTCACAGCTTATTTGGAAATTGATTATGTATAATGTTTGGTATTAAGGGACTGGAATCATGATATCAAAAAAAAACATTATCAAGTGAGAAACTAATTAAACAAAACAATGAATGTGTATAGTAAATATAACATGAGAATGAATTATAAAAATGCATTTATTATCATTGCCACATGATTGCAATTTGTCCTATGTACAGTGCATTGAAAATTTTGAAGTATATTTGACAAYTGACAATTTTCTTTTGCATTTAATTAGTACAATTTTGTGGAATTTTCTTCCAAAATATTTGACAAACATGATATTTTAGGTTTATGAAAAAGCTTTGAGATTAATATCAACATTGTGTCAATGTGTCTAGTAAAGTAGATATCGAATATGATAGTAAAACAGCAAAAAGAATTACATTGACCTACATTGTTATGATAATTGGTTTCCCGAACAAAGTTTGAGTCACATTGCTGGGATATCTGGTCTCCCAATGGAGGTTTTGGTCCCCATTTCCGGGTTTATTCGTTCCCCTGAGGGAATTGAAGAAAGTCATACGGACAGGACTGATCTTGTGTAATAAGCCAAGCGAAGCAATCGGACGTTTGTTGGCAAACAAACCGCGTAAAGCGCCCAAAAATCTGAAATATTCTTTAGAAAAAAACAAACTTACAAATGCATAAAAAGTTGTGCCTAGCTCTTGTCACGTAAAAGAGTTTGTATTCATTGTTTAAAAGAAGTTTACAACTAAACTTCGAAAACGAGTTGAGTCAGAAAAGCTACAGTATTATAATTCAATACCGCTGACACAAGAGATCTCCTTGACGAYGGTCCCATCCTCACTCATACACGATGACATTATGACGAGAGCCTTCCCAGAAGGCCTCTTGTCACAAAAACTGAAAAAAAACCTGAAGCCATGTTCCAACTTTTTGTTTTTATTTTATGTTGGATTGGAAACAACAAACTACAGTAAAAACTGCCGTATAAGAACACCTATTTTGGCGTTTTTGGATATTTAATGTTTTGAAGCGAATGTCTTTAGAACTATTAAAGGTGCACAAAAATATAAATTTGTTCATTCTTAGTTGGGATGTGTTTGGAATCCTTATGATTCCACACCCACAGGCCTAATTGACAAGAAAATACTGGGTTTAAAAACTAAAAAAAACTCCATGCTTGCCTGCAAAATAGTAGTAAATGCCTCTTCTTTACTTACATGTATACTGAATAGTTCTAATTCTAATCTTGATTTGTTTTCAGTATTGGGTACCCTGTGGTAACTCTTGGTTATGGTGTAAAAAGTTATGTAGGTTACAAGATGAGACAGGTACAAAACACGCAATATATGTATGCTTGGTTTTTAAATCAGTTATAGAAATATGATGAAAGTTTGAAATTTTCTTGTCTCAATATCATGTTTGTTCGTTTTGAGCCCCAATCTTTGTTTTCTATAACTAGGTACTATACACTTTCCATGACAAAAATACGTACTTTATTTCATAATTCATGACTCAAGAAACTGCCCACTATAGGATAAACACATGTTTGAACTTTACCACAAAACATATCAAAATCTTTGACATAAATAAAACATAAATCTCAATAATATTATATGACACTATGTATGACACTTAAAAAACATTAAGAAGATTAAACCATTATTATTATTATTATTAATATTAAGTTGAGAGTATTACAAAACAACAATTACTATTTTTAAGATAGTTGATCATTTCTGACTTCATGTGATTTATAAAAAAATCACAGGTTTTGAATTACTTTGCTGAATTATTCAAGACCAAATTGGTTGATTTTCTTTTAAATGGTCAGTTAATTTTTTTTGATACAAAGAAGTTAATGAAGCGATGTACTATGGCAAAAGTGATATCTTCACTGTAAAGATAAAAAAACATTTTTTCAACATAGAAAACTCGACATTTCATTGATATTGATAGAAAAAAAATATGTATCTTAACAAATGCCTACTCTTCCTCCTTTTCTAAATTTCAGAAATGACATTGCCACTACCAGAATTCAATGCATTTTTTCTTTGTTATTCAGAATTTCAATCCCTTTGGAGATTTTTAGTAAAACAATAGGGAATAATTACATTACAATTGCCACACAAATCGGTGTGTGACCTACATTATCTGAAATAGCAATTAAAATGCAAACTTTGGTGGAAATCAAGTCAATATTTCAAAAATTATAGCCATTCAAAACCTCTTTTATTCAAATGTACCGTATTTACCCATGTATAAGCAGCTCTTGTAGATAAGCCGCACCCCGAGTTTTGGGAACGTTTTTGAGGAARAAAAGACAGAAAATAATCTTTTCTCTTTTTGATCGCCATTTGCGAACACTCTTGATCGCCACTTGCGAACACAGCTTTCTTTTCTGCTGCTCGATTTCCCTGATCCATGCATTTCGTATGCAATTACAATCAGTTTATTTGATAATTGATACTGTATTTAAAGAGTTGTTTTTCATTCAAAAGGTAAAAGCAAACTAGTAATGAAGTAATTAACTTGAGTGATATAAATCTCATCGTGCCGCCAAACTTCTAAACATAAGGTTCATGCCGAAACCGTTTCATATTTCAAAAAAATATTGAAGCAGATTGTATTTGTTTAATATAAGAACAATTTCTTAGGCTCATTTCTTGGGTATTCAAAATATTTACCCTGGATTCTTCACTTTAAGTGTGACAAAGTCGCTTAAATGAACAATGCAAATTAGCATCACGTTACCAAAACTTTTCAGTTTGATTTATTGACTTGCGTTTCTCAGAGCTAGATTTTTCGAATTTATAGTAATACTGAGAAGTTTGGATTAAAATTTCTGTTCCCGCCATGTAAAACAAACTTATCACATACTGATGTCCTGTCTGCAGTAAGTAGCACCGTGAATGCTAATTTATGCAAATGTAGTTTTTATCGGGCATTTTTACAAGTCTTCTCGTAGATAAGCCGCACCCCTGATTTGGGAACGATTTTTTTGGAAAAAAAGTGCGGCTTATACATGGGTAAATATGGTACATCTTTAGAGTGTGGGGGGAATGCTTTCCCCACAATCTGTACATTTCTTTGTAAATTTTGACAATTTTGAACAGCTGCAATTTAGATAGTCATCTGAACTAAACCAAACTTGGGGATATTATCGATTTTGATGTGCTCTTCAAGATATATAGTTAACTTGATTTTTGCAATTTCCAAACTCAAACCCAGCCTCCTGCTCCAACATGCTGGCGATAGAAAATGGGCAGAGTATATTGTGGTCATGGTAAAACGTACTATTCCTTACCCGCAATTTCATATTTCAAACACTTTTTGCGAAGTTTTCCTATATAATAGTTAAATTTTGATGAGTCATGTCTAATTCCATTTTAATTTTTTTGTTATTTATTTACTTTCTAGAGAAAAATGACTCAAGTATCAAAAGAAAATGAGTTTTACATGGAACTTATAAACTTAGCACTTCCCAGTGATCCTGGGAACTCTACGGAATCAAATCAAGAGAAGTCATCTAGAGGTACAGAAATGTAATGTATTTAAATGATGTATTTAATTAATTAATTGAAACAACAACCATGAACTGACAGCTGTACATTTAACATTTCATATGCCACTTAACACGTGAACAATAAGGGAGTTGTCTGTATCTTGCAGCGATATGCAATGGAAAAGTAAATGATTCTGAGTCAGCATTATCAAAGTCCAGATCACTTCCAGTCATGACAAATGGTATAAACACTAAATCAGATGTAGAACTCTTGATTGCTAAAGAAGCAGAGACAAGAGGATTAAAACTAAGTGATTACAGCTGTACTGGAGTCAGAGGCAATCATGCAGTTCTTAAAGACCTGGATAATATAACCCACTTGAGTTCTAAGAAAATAAGTGAGGACCATAATTTAAATGAACTTGATAAAGCACCTTCGGAAGGCAACCCAAGAGGGAAAAGAGTGAGTTTAGGAAAAGGCTTGTCTAAGATGAATGGCAGACTGCATCATACAAAAGAAGAGGATGATGATGATTCTGATAGTGATTCACTCAGCTTGTCTAGTAACTCTGTCAATAACAGCAGGAAAAGCAGCAGGAGTAATTCACCCAAGGTTAGTCTACTGGTACGTCACAATACATTGTTAACTGATGATTGTAGAAATAGAGGATATTACATGGGCGCGCGGATTTTATCTTTGAGTGTTGAAAAGATCTCGTAYGAGTGAGCCAAGCGAATCTGTGCAATTTGGGTAGAGTTTTTCAACACTGAATGTGGGTTTTGTATAGGTAATAGCATGTTTTGTAGTGGTATTTGAGACAAATACCATGCATGATATTTCAAAATCTCAAACAAGATTTCATAAGCAAGGCAAGTGAAATTTGTGACGATTTTGAAATATCACAAGTGGTATTTATCCCAAATTCCACGTACAAAACATGCTATTATTTATTTATAAGTTGGTTGAATAAAATTGTGCAATTGTGAAATACCACTATTAAGGATCCTCTAAGCCAATCAAATTGCACAATTTTATTCGACCACATCAATATAATTTCTAAAATCTATGAAGTTATTTTGAAAAACCCGGTCCAAGGACGGGCATTGCAAGGACTGCTTGTATCTATCTCTACTAAGTCTGTATTTATTGAAAAAAAGATTGTTTTAAGAATAAAAGAAAAGCGAGACCAAAGTGATGCTTGGGATGTCAGAATGTTTGATATATGCGTTAACAGACATAGCACAACTTTATTTTGCTTAGAAATAAAAAATTACGTTCATATATGAATTATGTAATATAAAATTAATTATACAGCCGTTTGCAATAATTCTGACCCCCCTACACTAATATTCATATATATCAAAATAGCCTTAGAAATTATGGGATACCATTGCTGATATTTTTTTTAGAAAGTACTCATTCTGAACAACTCAAAAAATATATCAGTCATGATATCCCATAATATTAAAGGTCAGTTTGATATATATATGAAATATGGCAGAGGGGGTCAGAATTATTGCAAACAGCTGTATATATTGATTATATCGGTAGATAAGATTGACATTTAGAAGTAGTATGGTCTAATCAAACTTAATTCCCAGGCCAAGCGAGGAAGTTTAATGCATGTAGATAATTCGGAAATAAGTGGACAAGAACAGGAACATACATAACGCACATAGCAATTCTGAAAGGAAAAGATCTCAACAAGAAAAGCCCTGAATACAGCTAATGGCACAGAACGAAAAGCGTAAATGAATTTATGATCAATTGACATCCCAAACACTATTTCAGTGCCAGGTTGTTTAATGTTTTTAGGCCAAACGACGTTCCTTTTATTGCCTGTACAGTATAATATTGTATTAGTAGTTAGTGATGGCATTTCTATGTTCATTTATTAGGGTCATGATACTAAAGATAATGTTCATAGTTTGCTGAATCAGCTGAAAGAAGAAAAGTCACTAAGGTAACATACTCATTTCCCTGTCAAAGATATATTAACTGTTTTTGACGATGTACTGATGAATATTAATCAGCAGTTCCATGAAACAACTTGTTATTTACGTAAAAAATATGCACTTACCTTCATAATTTCAAGAGATTACTTATTGGTATTCACCAAGGTCAAATACGTTCTTTGATCGCCGCCATGAATTGGACATTTCGAGAAATGTGAACGAGTTCTAAAATCAGCACAAGATGACCAAATCCTAACCATGTGAAAGACAATGTACAACAATAAGCAGTGTTTAAGTCTGAGATTATCTGGTTTCTTGATTGCCAAAGTGTTTGTAACTAAGCACCCATCCCTTATTGAATTCGGAATGGTTAATTGAGAAACGTTGCTTCCTTCTCTCCAATGAACTACTGTGTTTCTGAGAATAGCTCACATTCAATGGTCTGATTGGATGATCTCGCATAAAACGAACTGAACAAAGGGATAATCCATTCTTTAATCAATTCTTTTGTGCGAAATTTTGAAACTGAGCTATTACCAAGCAGGTATACTTAACTTATAGAGTCATTTTCATCTGTCTGTAAAATAGGAATTGTACTATTAAATACTATTACACCCTATTATCTCCCAATAGTTTAACTTATGACGTACGACAAACTAATTAGGCCAGCACGGTTTTGATTTTGCCTTTTGGTAGCCTACTACACCCTAATAGTTACTATTAAACACTGACTAGTAGTAATTGTTTCACAGACGAATGAAAATGACTCTACTTAAATATACTTAACTCGTGTTTTTTTTGTTTTTTTTTTCTAATCTGCGTTCTTGTCATTTCTTCGATATTCTCCTATTTCGTAAGTTTTTGGCAAGGTTTCCTTCATTGTCATATATGCATCATGTTTTATTGTTTGTTTTTGATATATTTTCCTCCATGGTATTCTTTTTCCATTGAGGTCTCTTTAATTGTCATTCACTTTACGTTTACGTTTAGGCGTCGTGCGGAAAGTACAGTAGTTCTACTTGAAAACGATATAAAGAGGGTCAAGGTAGAGCTCCAAACATCTCGTCAGTGTGAGTCAGAACTGAGAACTAACATGCACAGTTTAATGGCTAATGAGAGGTCTGCCAAGATAGAATTACAACAACTCAAGTCTGAGAACATTTCCATTCAACACAAGTAAGACCGATAAGGCTATTCAGGATGAGCCGACGGGGTCTGCTCTTCTAAATCACTGTTCTTGTACGAATTTTTTTCCTGGGAAAGGGATTTTGAGTTACATTGTTAACAAGCAAATGTGGCGCCCTTTTTTTGTTCCTGGCAAACGTTTTTAAGGGCAAAAACGGCTTATATTTTTTTTCAGTTAGGGAAGTTTTATTTTCCTGGCAAAAATTCTTAGAAAGTATTCCTTGCCTAGAGAGTTCTTTTTTCCTGAATTTCTCGCTGGCAACCAGTTGTGACTTACAGCTGGCTGGGACATAAGAACAGATATATTTCTCCCTGAAACCCGTCGGCTCCTCCTGGCTATTTAAATCTCCCTATACTTCTCCTGATCGTTGACCTTGGATTTCAAATAGCGGTGGCAAATACATCGTAAAATCTTTCAAGGAATAGTAAATAAAACCAATAATAATCACAACCTACACCATCTCCTACCAGAACAAATCAATAAACATATCTTTCAGCCAAGTTTAAAACTAATCGTTYTAAAAATAGCTTTATAAACGCCAACAGTTTGACTTTTTATATTTAATAATCCCAGAGTTTGCTGAAGAAGGCCGAAGTTCCGAAACGTTCATTAAAGAGTAGAAATCAAGTTGCAAGTTGTGTGCATTTTTCTTCAATTTATTCTATTTAATAATCCCTGTGTATATATATTTTAATATCAAAGATTTTATTATGATATTTTTTCTTTTTGAGCTATAACATAATTCAGCCCTATGGCTGCAAAGTTTAAGTTTAATTTCTTCATGGTTAGTGTCGAATAATGTACCATAAGCGGACTGCGAGATTTGCTCCGATTTTTTTCCGCCGAAGTTGACATATTGTTGAATAAATTCCTCGCGTTCATGCGGCTTGCTAGTTCTTACTGTATTGTACTTATTTCTCTAGGATCAATACTCTCAACAGTAACCGTCAACAAGACCGTAATACCATCTCTTCTCTCGAGCGTAAGCTGAAAACAGAGCGAGACGCACGTCTTTTGGCTGAGAACCAGCTACGCGAAGAACGCAAGAAGCAGAAAGCAGAGTGCGCAGCTCAGAAGCAGCGTGAAGACACAACCAACTGCCATGACGCTTGTATATCCTTACGAGAAGAAATGGAAGAAGAAACGCGCCAGTTACGCATGTTGCTCTCTGAAAAGGATGACGAAATCAAGCGTTTGGATTTGGAAACTGAGTCTCTCCGACAGAAAACTAAAGAAGTCGAAAGTCAACAGGTGAAGAAAGAGACAGAGATCCTTATGAACGCGCTGACGGCCATGCAAGGCAAGAACACTCATTTAGAAAACAGTCTTAGTTCAGAAACAAGGCTTAAGCTTGATTTGTTCTCTGCATTGGGTGAAACTCGCCGTCAACTTGAGATAGCTCAAAGTAAAGTAACAAGTAAGGAGCGTGATATCATAACGTTGAAGGCCAAGATCGCTGAGGTGATGGCATTGATGCCTGCTAACACTTATTCTGATACACTGCCGTGTTTTACGTCCACTCACGCCGCGCTTGACCTCAACAGTAGCCTGGACCCGAGTGCCCCTTGCTACGTGCCGAACAAGAAGTCCAACGGCTTGCTTTAGATCATTGTGTTATTGTAGTCGCTGAGACCAGTGATTTGTAGATTGTAGATGCCCATATGATCTAATTTATTAAATACCATTGTTCTATGGATGGATAAGTTAACGCTGCATGACAACATTATTCACTTGCATTTAAAACATAGAAAGTTTCTTTTATTCAAATCCTAGATTTTTTTTATTTTACCGAGTAACACACGTGATGCAAGGGTCATGATTTCATACCAAAGAATATTACTAACAGAAATAGCTGATGTGTAATCCATGTGTAAAGCTAAAAGACCTAAAAAGAAAATGCAAGCGTTACTAACCATTACTCATATCATAAAGCATGTCAGCCATAAGCTAACGGTTGGACGTGATGCTTATGAATATGATATTTGGGTTATTCATTGTCGGGTTGAGAGTTGTCGCAAAGCATGATTGAACTTTATATCTAACCATTTTAGTTYTGCATTTAAGCTGTAGTTAAAATAATATATAAATTATAAGGCAATTGTTTGTATTGGCAGCTTGTTCTTATGGCATTGTTAGATCGCCTTTAATACTCTGTTAGTTAATTGGGTTCTAACCTATTTCTCGTTCACTGCATTCCGTTAAACGCTTTCATCCCTTCATCATAACATAACATAGCGCACTCCTAATTCATTGTTTGTCAACCCATTGTCGTTTTATTAGTTCAGGGTATATTATTTGTTGTTGGTCTCAGCATTTACTTGTTACAAGAGCAAAATTCGGCGAAGATATCAAGTATTAAAGACGGATAGTTTAATAAATTATGTTCTAAACCATGATATTGGGGTGTCGTGATTGCTGTCGTAATTGCACTATCGATTAGTGACGTCACAGCACGTGACGAGGGAACATGCCCAAAAGAAGTGGAAATTTTGACCTATTTTCAACCAATTGTATTCAACATGTTCAACAGCTACTTTCTGTGCTCGCCTTCTTTATTTCTGCTACGGTTGTTTTTCATCTGGGAACATTTTCTTTCCATGACTTATATTAGCTTTTGCTAGCAAATTTTCTTTTCTGGGATGGGGAGGAGGACATTCTCTTGTTTGGGAACATCTTTCTTTTGGAAGGGACACTGGAAAAAATCGCGCGCTTAAAAGGTTGTAAATTTGATGTAAATATTATGTAAGTGTCCAAAATGATGTAAATTTACATCCAATTTAAGCATCAAATTTACATCATTTTGGACACTTACATAATATTTACATAAAATTTACAATCTTTTAAAGTGAACGATTTTTTCCAGTGGGATAAGGTAGGAAAAGCTGCTAGGGAGATAGCTCTCATTGTGAACTGCGGTGACCACACTGATTTTGAGTATTTTAATACTAAATTAAAATCATGCTYATTACTTCAACTTAGTCATCTTTGTTATAACTCTGGCCGTCCGAAGGGCAATGAAGACTAGGTCTCCGATTTAAAAACTGCGTAGTATATCATGTTTTGTTTTGGAAACAGTCAACCCTAACGGCCGAACGGTATATTTGATACAGGTTGGCTTTTGTTTATACAACTATTTCAGAAATCGTTGAATACTGGAGATAGTGCATTCCAAGACTGTTCGTTCGGGAGTTTTAACGGTTTCTATGGGAAGCAATCTAACACAGCTAACGTGGAGTTAACAATTGGATTGAAGAATACTCTCTTCAACATTGAAACGTAAACAAAGGAAAGTTGCTCAGAAAGGTGTTATTCCGGGAGAACCTCGCTTATTACGTACTCTTATTCACATCTTTTTTTTCTTTTTCTTTTTCTGAAATAGCTGTATACAGATGTAGGATTCACAGTTCACTTGCCATGGGATGTCGCATACCACGTGACCGTTAGGAAAATTGGATGCAATTCCTCCTAAATTAACTTTTTTAAATCAAGTCAGGGCAAACAGACTACACCTTAGTTATATATTGACATGTTCTGTGAATCTCGCTAAGTTGAGTCACACATCTCATGACCATGGGAAAATTGCAAGAAACGTTTTGGAATGTATTGTTAGGCAAACCTGGGCAGCGCAAACCAATCGATTTGCTACTATTTGCTACCATTTACTATATGTGACGTCATGTGTCATGTGACTTTGGAGAAGTGCTGCAATTTTATATAGTTTGAATCAAGACAAAAAAATAATAAAACACTATAATGTTACATATAACGTGACCGTGGGAAAATGGGATGCAACTACTCTTTTCTTTTTATTCGATGCAAATGAAACTTGGTGTAACAAACAACAGCCAACATTGTCGATGTGCCGTTATCAAATCACGGAATATGACGTCATTTAATGAAATTACGAAATGTGACGTCATTGATCACATGACCAGTCTTTCTTATAGCCAGTCTAAGCGCTCTAAGAGCGTCCACAGGCTACCCAACTATTGCTTGAGAGAAAGAAAAGAATGAACGCGCACGCTTTTATGCTAGTATCGGCACGCGCTCTTAGTGAAATGCGGATTACCTTTGGTATTACGTCACGATCCCGTGCCTCGCGGGATTCAAACAAGTCTGTGACAAGATTAGTTTGTATCCCGCGAGGCGCGGGATCGTGACGTAAAGTAACCCGAAGCGCGCGCCGATTCGATAACAGGCAAGGGGATCAATGACGTAATACCACAGGAAACCCGCATCGCGCGCCAATGCGATAATATAATATAAGATAATATAAGCGTGCGCATTCATTCTTTTCTTTCTCTCAAGCAATAGTTGGGTAGCCTATGAGAGCGTCTAGTTTCATACTAAGTCGCAAGCATGCCTCTTTGCAAGTTTGATGAAAATTGATTTTGCATGTTCTAGTTTTTAAGCTGTTTATAAGACTTCAAATGATGATGCATGACCCTCCCCCCCCCCCCCAAAAAAAAAAAACACTATTGATTTTAGCTTCAAAATCGCAACCCAATAGTCGACTTTAGATATTTTGGTTCAGTGACCATGCACAAAAGAATTGCAGACGAGGCTCCGGGGAAATAAAAGAATAAATCTCAAGATTATTCATTCTTTCCCCGGAGCCTCGTGTGCGTTCTTTTGTACATAGTCATCGAACCAAAATATCTAAAGTTGACAATTTTGCCGCCCGGATTAAAAGTAAATATAGCCCTCGAAATTCACAACATATTCACAAAGTGAAATCATTTTTTCGTGCAGTGTATAAACCCCTTGCATGTGAAGTCAAAGCAGCAAAATTCGGCGATGAATTTTTGATCCAAACTGAAGAAGGAAGGCTATAACGCGTAATTCAGCTCCATGTATAGTTAGTCCTATCATTCAAAGCTTATTAAACTGACAACTTGTTATTAATCGTAAAAATAGATCAAATAAAAGTTATTGAATGTAAGTGGCCGATTACGCGATATTGAAAACAATAGAAAGTCAATTGGGAATCGCTAAAAGTGTCCGCGTCCGCTTACGAGAAAGTCCGCTTGATAGAAAGTACAAATACAGTGTTTGTATGGGGGGAAAAACGGGTTTCGACTGTAGTTTTAATTCCGAAATTAAAGGTTCTGAAAATCGCTCCAGAGATTGCCAGTGCCCATGACACTGTACAAACAGGAATCAATGAGATATTGATTGCATATTTATGTTATAGCTCGAGTGTTTACTCAGAGTCCCATAATTAGCTTACCGTAATCCGTGGTAAAACAACTGTAACAAATCACAAAACAAAGTGTGCAAAGCATTCTGGTAGTCACGTTTATTCGATTTACCAACCCTTAGTTTCCCACCCTCGGTCAAGGTAGAAGAATACACAATCCCCACGACGTTCGGTTTCGTATTTTTAGTTGTTTAGGAACTTCACTTCTTTGGAGTAAAACGTCGAAATAACGATCAAATAAAAAGAAATGATAAGTGAGCAAAATCAACAAACAAACAGTGATCAACTTACCTTAAAATGATATATGCAAATTGATTATTTTCTTTGAGCCATTTGATCTGGTCTGTATTCTGGGTGATTGATTTGCGACCAGGCCTGCCTATGAATTCGCCAAGGTTGTAAGCCAGTGAGCCCGTGCATTTTTGTTAAGCGGTCATATTTGAAAATGTAAATAAAGGAAAGGGAAAACCCGCAGCTCGCCTTTCACTCAGATAAACAGTACAAGTCGTGTTAAATTTATTTACATAACTAAACAAAATGATTATAGAATTAAACCTTTAAGAATTGAATGCTCATATGAAACATTTTCCACCTTAAATACACACGTGTTTTTCANTCAGAAAAACTTAAACGCGCGCGCTAACCTATATCTATGAACCTCTCTTCGTCTAATATGTTTATTGATCGTTTTCAACCATTCCCACGAGACTCAAAAGATAAAAAACCGGCTGCCATGTTGGAGGACTAAACAATATATACCAATGAGAAATCCTTTGTTGAAGTTCCTCCAAGATGGCCGCTGTGACGTAACTTGAAAATGAATACCCGAGTTTGATGACAGATTCATGGTTGGATAGATCTCTATTTGTCTTTTAAAAATGTATTCGTACCTATTTTTGAAAGCTTTCCCGTTTTGTCTTTGTTGTAAACTGTTGATACTGATAATGGGAATGAATTTTATGTGTATCGGACAAGAAACACTTAGTCTATCGCGGTCTCTTTTAAATTCAGTTGATGTTACAGTAACTGTCAAAGTCAAAGAAACTCGCTAAGAAACGCCTCGGGATGCTTGGTAGAAATCTCGAGCCTGTACGTCGCATCCGTGTTTCCTACTGTCTCGTCATTTAGCGTAAGAAAATAAAGAGAGCGTTTAACATTTCTTAAACAGTGCATTGGAACAGATATATTAATGGCTTTTCGAAGGGTGAATGGGAAATACGGCAATGAGAAATATGACAATAAACTACTTCATTTTACCAAATTACAATTGAAGTAATTATGTAAGCCTTTGTTCTCAGCTTCTATGTTGAATTACTTTGGAAAACGGGAAACCATCTGCAAGAATCTTAGTTTAATTTATTAAAAAGCTATTTCATACATATGGTGCTTGATTAATCCTTTCTTTTGTCAATGAAATGACATCTAAATAGTCTACTAGTTACTTACTAGTACTCGGATGCTAAAAAATCGAAATGCTTTTTCGACGGTTGTTGTCTAATTCATATTACTGTTTTTGTTTGATTATTTTGTTCGTGCTTTCCTTTCTCTGTGACTATCCATTTTACGTCTCACCACTGGACTATATGGTTCATTAGTTTACATTGCTCCAGTCTGGCTCCCCTTCTTATTAAGAAAGGTTTGAATACATTTGCATTCTTTAGTTCAAATCAACATGACTCAACCGACAAGATACCAGCAAGTCAATCCAATATTCAGTTCCATTTTTTCAGCCAACCTCAAACTAGCATTTTCCTATTTGCCTTGATACAGAATATTTGTATACTTGAATAAGCATTTGTACATCACATGATAGGATTAGCAGTGCCACAACTCAGTGACGTCTCGCTTTCAAATTCACAATCAGTTTGAATTTATCTACGATTTAAGGCCGCTAACATATGTCATTATATCGGGTGACGCATCATGGGGTTACATGATTTTCGCTATTTATCCGCCGTCAAAAACAGATCGCAAATCATTAAAACACTTTGAAATTATCATTATCAAATGAAGTTTTATGAAGAATGTTTAAGGTTGGTAATACCAACTACCCTATTTAATGATATAATCATTATATTTTTAAAGCCGTTGCCGGTAAGAATTTCTTCAGTTGACTGACAATTTATACGGAGCCGTATCCATGGTGACGTGTTATATTTTTAAATGTGAAGATATAAGTTCTTAGTGAAAAAGGTAAGACTCACACCCACCCACACACAATGAACAAGATATCCTAAAAAAAAGCTAAAAAGTCAAAAATATTGAGTATTGAATTGAATTAGAAAACTCTCGCTCTAGTTCTCGCGAAAAGGAGAACCAATTCACTCCCAAATACAAATTGGGAAGGTAAATATATCATTTGAATGTCGCTTTAAATTAATATTATTTTTACCCATGAATAGACCGGCTGATAATTACACAAGCTTTCACACAGATGGGCCGCTACGTAATGGGAATACAGGCACACTCAATAACTATATATTTACATAATTTAGGTGTAGTTAAATTATTGATATGTTGACGAACTAAACATGATATAATGCGAAGTGCTGTTAGTCTTTTTCTTGCACTTGTCCATCTTGCAGTAAAATACATTGTACGGAAAAATTAAAGATATTCTAAATCAACGTTAATGTTATATTTCATTTGCAAAGTTCATCAAAGTAATGACAGAATAAATTGTGATGTGTGTGTTAACAGCACTGAGTAGAATTCTCATTATGTGGACGCTAAATTTAAAACTTCATTACAAGCGAACCAACTCTCTCTGCACCTGTAGTTACTAAGTCATAATTGACCAATCACAAAGTAGCTAGTCCCAAATAGTTCTTACAAGAGCCGCATGACTTAGTTCCGTGTTCTCATGACAACGCCGTATCCCCTACAATTTCTATGAGACTATGTTCCCCAGTTTGATAATTCGACCGACTGAGGGAATCCTCGTTACTCCAGGACTAAGCACGCTCAACGACAACACCATTTACAGAGTTTTTAAACTTGTGAGATACGTGTATGCTGYTGGGTGCAACGGTGAGTCAGGTTTGAAATATCATGCAAATAACCCCATCTCATATTTTCCATTTCTCTGATTGTTTACAACAGCAGATGCTTATATATTTGTTAACTACACATGGCCCCTTTTTCTGCATTAGAAATCAAATAAGTGGCTTAGAGTTGCAGCCAATAACATAAAAATATATGTATTTCTAAATTCTAGTACTCTCTTCACCATGCCAAGTAAGCTTTATACAGCAAAACTATGAAGCATAGCTGTCATTATTTACCTCGAAAACCTTCGCGAGAAAACAAAATGCATTTAAGGCAGCAAATTGCAAATTCAACTAAGTTTGCGGAAAGCGGTTTATTGAAAAAGACAGATTTCACAATAGTAGACGAAAGAATATAGTGATTTGTGAGCGATGGATGTTGCGATCTCATGAAATAACTAAACAGCACGACAATACTTATGTTTCTCCCTCACACGTTGAGAAAAGAAAGAAAAATACTCTCTCATTAAGCACAAGCGCGCACTATGAATCATATTTCATTTCATCATAACATTACAAACTAGGCCGAATGTTTTTGATCTTGTCACTTCGTTTTTTGTTTGGGCTGATCCGTTTTTCGACATTGAATGAACTAGGTCTCGCTCAATCCTTTATTGAAACTGAAAGTTCCCTTGATTTTGTATTCACTGACATATTTTCTCCACTATTTTTCTTTTGTTTGCCTACTTTCTCTCGCTCGGCTTGGCCTTTATTTCATTCACATTAGTGATAAAGCTTTTATTTTGTGATTTTGGATCTCTCACAGTTTTGACTTGCATAAACTATCTTAATGAAATATGTCAACTCAATTTTGAGTACCATGGTTCAATTGAATAAAGTTATGTCGAGTTGGAGGAGTTTTCTGATATTTGTCTTTAGAAGTAATTAAAAACTGTGGATTGAGACCAAGGCCCGTCCACACTAAAGCGTCTTTGCAGCACACTCTACTCGTTTACAGTAAACCATGACAGCGATAAGAAATAGTGCTACCGTAGCCTAATACTCAATTGCTTTCTTTTAATTCCATTTGACACCTTGACTATCAGATGTTATTTCAAGGGTTTGATGCAGTCAATTTGAAGCAGACTGTATAGACGAACAGACTAACATTTACATACATATTTCATTTCCATAGTGATTTCAGCAGGTAATTTGGCCGCAATCATATCCAAAACAAGGAAGGTTAGAGAACGACAAACAAATCGAAAAAGCTAAACATCAAAAACTAACAAGAAGATGAACTTGATATTTAACTTCAGGTTTCATAAATTCAATTTATATATCTAGCCCAATGCATGGAGCACGGGTTTTCATTCCCCACGTGTGGTTAGTGTCCTCCTGAAGGGGGTGGAGCAATACAAAGCATCCTGTGTCGTTGTAGTCAACCTTCCATTTMATATCTCCTACTGATTTTTTACCCCGTCTTGCACGTCTCAAATACATGCATCCGGATATTTGCACATTTCCGATGGTTGTGGCCTATTGTTTACGCGAAACCACTGAAAGCGATGACCGTACTCGGATATCGCGGGTATCGTTCCGGTTAGCATCACTAAAGTAACGGCCGGGGGGAGGGGTATACTCCCTTATATTCGCTATACGGGGACGTCCCGCCAACCAGGGTATCGGTTTCAACGAATTTTCTCTGGATCAGGGTCAGGGTTGAATTCCGGAATTATTGATGCTGGATAAACATCCACGGGGTAAAAATTCGGTCTACACGCAGGCTAGTGCTGGATTTTACTCTGGAACAGGGTATCGTTTTCAGCGATTTCACTCTGGAACAGGATCAAGTACCCCCCCCCCCCCCCCCCCCATCATCACATATGGCATCAACCTCACTATTACATGACATCACAATAACGTGTCATGGACATCTTTTGTTCTAAACCATCATGAATCACGAAGAAACTTGAGGTAACATAACTGTTAAGATAAGCCTAAACGAATCTAAAATACACACTACATCAATTATTTTAAATCTTTCAAATTGTGTCACAGGCACCCTGTGGCCTCGCTGAATTCGTCTGTTTAACAGTAATAGGAGTGGTAATGGTAGGCAACAGCAGCAGTATTTGAGTGATAGTAGAAGTAATAGGATAGAAAGAGGAGTAGCGGTAGTTGTAGTATTACTATCAAAATTACATTATAGTAGCCATGAGTAGCAAGCAGCCTTTGCAGCAGTCTAAAGTTGCATAGGGTCTGAAGGGTTTTGATCAATTGTTTTTGTTTTGTTTCGTTTGTTTCGTTTCGTTTGTTTGTTTGTTTGTTTCCTTTGGGCGTCCAGTTTTTCCCTTATTAAAGATGAAAATTCTAAAACGTCAACGTTTTCCCTAGTGTGTTATTTGGAGTATAGTAGGGAAGCATATTTTCACTTCAACATTTAATTGAATTTCATTGTAACGTGAGCGGGTTATCATATCACCGAAAGATCTTACGAGCTGTCATTTCCGAACAATAACCCAACGGAAATAAAGAAAATGAATTTTCGGAAAATAGTGTTTGACGTGTATTAGTCGGTAATACACTAAGCTAATGTAATCTGACGAATCCTCGCACGCTTTGATTGGAAAATTGACAGCAATTTGCAACACAGCATTTTGTAATCTCGTAAGCATTGTTAGGTGATAGACAAGTGAAATAAGGGAGATTGGATTAAGACTTCGTTTTAATAAAAGAATATTGTTGTATTTCAAACGGCGAGGATTATCACCTTGTACGTCCACAATTTTCTGGTAAGTCTTTTACATTCGTGTTGTTTTTAACAAAAAAAATGATGCGACAGGCGATTGCTTTTGAATTTTTCACTCTTCAGTAACGTCTTCACTGAGAAGCATCGTGTTATACCGGCTGCTGAAGGGATATTGTCATTTTGCTATAGTAACAATTTTCTTTTCTCCGCTCCGCTTAATTACATTTCTGTATTTTTGAAGACCATCATATTTTTGAAATTCTCATCGCTCGTTATTTATAAACTTTCCAAATTAATGTTATTGCTTTTTTCGCTAAAAGCCTCAAACAACAGCACTGTCCAATAAAAACACAGCAGGCGACCCTAGTGAGTTGGTTATTGAAGTAAACATCAACTATTGTCTTTTAGTTAATCATGTTTTCTGAAAAGAAAACAAAGCGGAGAGCTTCTAAGGGATGGTTTTCATTCCAGACAAAGCGTCAAAGTAATTGATATTATCCAAATGAAATACTTTTAGTAAACGTTTGCGATAGACTATGACAACTGTGCTTTTTAAAAAACTAGACTCGAATGCGTAAATTTTATGGCAATTTTTCTTTCTTCTGGAAAATCAATATTTCCAGGCTAATGATATTCTTTGAGAAACGGTAGTGTTTCCTGATCCTGGAGATTGTGTTGAGGTAGCACATCCTATATGTAACATTATTTCCTGCCTGCCTTATTCTTAAGGAAGTATTCAGAGGAYCTATGCAATGTATACGTTTTTAGGTCGACTTTATGAGCAAAAACAAACTGCAAAAGTTCCTTTCTTGTGCGGTAATAGAATTGGTTTTAGAAAAAGGCATTTGAGGGCCGTAGCTCCTCCATTCAAAGAGCATATTATTGGACAGGTGCAGCAAGTTTTACCCATATGATATTGTTCTGGTTACGACATTAGTTAAATTAATCATGATTTGCGTTCCAAAGAGATATGTTGACATACCGCGTTGATCTCAGTCTTCGGCAGTCAGTATTTCGTACGCGCCCGCGATACTAGAGTACAGGCTAGAGTACTTGTGGTTAATGTGCGTGTTGTTAAGGGTTTGTGAAGTGATTGGGGTGGGGCAAAACTCACTAAAGAATTCGTGCGTGAAAAAAGAGTTAAAAACTCCAAGAAAGAAACTGATCCCAAACCATCACTTTTCTAATGGTCCACCCTGATATGATCTAAGACTGGGAAGATGTGCAAAACTGGTACATGTTAACGTACGCTTTAAGATGTATCCATACATGTTTTATGGTAGGGATTGATTCGGAAATAACAACATTATGTGATCTTTTACTTTCTAGGTTTATAACGAATATAAATGGAAAGTAGGATCGTCGAAGGTTAATCAAGGCTCTTCATAACAAGGCTTACCGTGCAAACTATGATCAAAAATCAACGGCAATTAGCTCCCCTAACAAAAGAAAACATTGAACAACTGCAAAGAGAGTTTAAATGTAACAAAGCCAACGATCAAGTTTCCAAAACGGAGGTTTATCACAATCAAACACGGAAGGGGACTATTGCCCGTTCCGACGGCGATGGAGAGAGCGTCGACGTTACAACGAACAACATCGAGCAAAGACGAACAAGTTCGGTATTTTACGAACACAAACGTGTTCTATCTTCGGGACTCAGTGTAAACGAAGAAACAAAACCCGCTAATAAAAATAAACAATTCGATCAAAACAGCTACGATCAAGAAAATGATCGAGAAAAAAAAGTGTATGATGGAGAAGCGTTAGGAACTGACATTAACTCAGAAAACCATGATGAAAGTAACAAGGGGTTGAACAGAACCCCAATACACAAAAATGACGGCAAAAGCCTAGAAAGCCTTAGYGGAAAAGGAGAAAAAGAAGAAGTGGAAGAAGATGATGAAAAAGAGGAGGAGAGAAAGGAGAAAAAAGAGGAAACTAAAGACCAGGAAGATGAAAAAGAAGAGGAAGACGAGGAGGAGGAAGAGGTAGAAGAAAAGGATGAGGAAATAGATTTTGAAGAAAATAACAATAGCACTAGTTCAAAGAAACCTGACAACTATATTGCGTACGACAGTGCAGACGAAGTGCACTACAATACTGACGACCTTAATGAAGAATACGACAGTGCTGACGAATTTCGCGAATTCGAAAAGCAACTCAGGGAAAATATGGAAAACGCTGAGTCACCAACGGAAAGCGAAAGCGAAGAAGACCCAACACCGGACACAACAAGCAAAGACATCGATGGAGATACAGAGACTTTAGCAACAAGTCGGTTGAGCTCGTCATTACTGCCTGCTAATGAACTGGATAGTGATGATGACGATGATGATGATGATGACTTCACCTCTGAAGAAGAGCAGCCAGAAGAAGAAGACGAAGAGGTCGATTATGAATACATGACAAGTCCCATGGAAAGCGAACCAGCTACTGACGACGAACAATCAGAAGAAGAATCGGTACAATCAGCTCTGACTCAAGAGGAAGAGGAAAATCCCATAACAGAACCAATAGAAATAATACCCACAGAAGAAAAATACAACGAAAACGATGCCGAGGAGGAAGTGGTTACTCACGAAGACACTGAATTTTTACAGGATGAAGCAGCAACTACAAACGAAAACCTTGAAACGAGGCCAGAAACGCGGCTTGTTAGCGGTCAATCTGCGTCACCTCACATTGAATTAGAGAGTGCGTTCGGTTCCGATCAGTTTGATGAATTCGAAGGAAGGATTTTTGATCATGGGGAGTGTAACTTTAATACACCTCTCTTGTTTGTGGAGAACGATGAACTCGAAGTCAATTCTAGAAATGGATATATCGCGAAAAGTAAAAGCAAACTTCCACGAAAAGCAAAGAAAAAAAGAAAGCGACGAAGAAAAGAACTAGCTAAGCTCACATTTACAAAATATCCTCTGTCTGATTCTGAAGAGGAATCTATCAACAATGAATTAAAAGAAACAAAACGAACAAAAAAGCTGAAAAAGAGGCATATGTCAGACAAAAGTGAAACTGGCAGTGTAGRACCGCTGGACACTGCATTAAGCTGTAGCTCAGGAAGCGAGTGGAACATCTCAAGYTCAGAAATGTCTGTTTCGTCGTCACACAACTCAACTAGCACGATTTCAGAATCTTCATATATCGAAAGCGAATATTTAAGCTCCCACTTGTCACCTAGGCCAGTCACAAGGAAGACATGTTGGCCAATAGATGGAAAGCTGAGAAACCTTCCACCAATCACAAAGAAGATTCAATCCGATCCGCAGCAGCAAGGTAATAGTGTCTGATTGATAATGAATGAATATATTTTTGTTAATAGACTCTTTCCATTGTCTGATTTGTCAATGTGTTCTGGGTTATTTAGACTTAACGTGAGTAAAACAAACATTTTAATAATATGCACCGCCTGAAAAAAATGGCGCTAAATATGACGTCTGTGCATTTTCTATTTTCCAATTTTTTTATTTTACTGGTTTTCAAGATAATGAAGTAATAACCGTAAGACTTTTTTCCGTGTACCGAGGAATAGGAACGTGTAAGGAAACTAAGATGAACGACGAGGAGAATAAGACAGGAAGACATATAAACATATAAGAGAGGTTTTTGAACAAAYTAAGCCTTTCGACRTCAACACTACAAATTTCCTTTTAAAKCCCTCTAAACTRATCAGCGCAAAAAAAGTCGCATCACAATGAAATGGTGAGRGTGCACGAGTAAATATGGATTACAAATTTAAAAACGACAATTCGATAATTCAAGAATTAAACCCTGACCCTGTTCRAGAGAAAAAWMTTTGAAATCTATACCCTGTTCCAGAGGAAAATCGATTGCGGCACGTACCCGTATGGGGAATATAAGGGAGTACCCCCTGGACTTTTTATCAAAATAAAATTGATTTTTTTGTGTGAAAACATCAAACATGTTTATTAGTAAATCACTAATTTACATACATAAAATACAAACCGAATATATCATAGTAAATGTAGGTGATTGGTTTAGAGTCTGCTCAACTTTCAAGTCTGTTGCTTGATGGAGGAGGCCAAAGTTATGAGTTGTACATCAAACAYATATTATAATAACACGTTTATTGAAATTCATAATAAATCCTATTTACAAATCTGAATAGATAAAAAGCTATTTACACAAGTTTAGAAAAATCTAAGAAAAAAAAAACACAAGAAAAACGATGAACTATACAAACTCCCCCCCCCCAAAAAAAAAATAAAAAAAAAAGAATAAAAAGAAAATACGTAAAAAATATATTGAATGTCCAAGGTTAACATTAATATTAAAGTAAAAAAACTATCTTCAAACTTTCTGAAAAAAGTGGTATGAGATCCTCTAATGCAAGTTACAGAAGATTTAAAAATTTCAAAGGACAGCTTAGCTCTAATGTACGTTATTGTGTCCGAATAACATTGTCCCGATTTATTGGCTAATCTCTCAGCAAGTGCTTTTAGGAAAATTTGGCTTTCCTTTCCCATTGCCCCCGTTAGTTCCAAATATCAGTGGTGTAAACGATCCCATCTCTACCTCGAGAACCCTCTGTTGATACTTTCTTTTCAGTCTCTTTTTCCTGGTCATTGAAAATCTGTTGAGTGGTTTTCTTCTCGTTGACGTTGGACTTGGAGTTGACGTGCGACACTCGTACATAAAAAAATCCAGTAACTCCGCGTTGCCAGAAACCCTTAATACAATTAATATCAAGTCGAGCATCTTCACTTCTAGTCGTTGTTCTGAGATCAAACTTTTCTCCATTGAGTGGAATCAGTTGAGGCTCGGCTTGGACGTTATGACAGACTTTGCTCAGTAGAGTTGTTAACAGGACACGTTTGTTGAGGATACCTATTTTCCGAGTCAGGATTCGAGTTAGGATTCGAGTTAGGATTCGAGTTTTGGGATTCGAGTTTTAGGATTCGAGTTTTAGGATTTGTGGAATGCAGTCTCCGGGATCTCTTGAGAGTATTCAGATGAATAATTTGAGTTTTCATGCGTTTAAAACTCGAAAAAATAAATTACAAAGAACGTATGGAGGTTTTGAGCAGCGACCCCAAAAAACATACATTCTCTTAGTATTTTTACAAATTTGACAAATATCCTATATATTCGGTGAGTATTCAACCAAATATGCTCAAACTTGACAAGAACACTTATTTATTCATTGTCTCCATTACCTCCATTTATTCAATGTAATGTGAACCCAATAGGTGAAATTTCTTTATCAAAACAGTGTAACCATRGTCCGTTTTGGTCGTTCAATCTCCCTTCGACAATCGTTGTTCATCGTTTTCCCTGACAACATTTTTTGAAATAGCTGTATGCTCATAGTGTCCAAATGTACCATACATGTAACAGATTGCCATTCGAAACGTGGAAATCTCAATGAAACCAATCCAAAAAATTAGAATTTTACAAACTATTCAAACATGGATATGAATCTAACTATCTAGAAATCATACGCAATTTTGATCAAAGACACCAATTATGCAAATGGTAAGAGCAGGTTTATGTTCGTAAAATGTCAAAGTCTCAAGTCTAAATACTCCAAAAATGGCAACAAATGTAAAAATATTTTTCTAAAGAAACGTATGGGAAAATAGTACTGGAGAGCAAGCCTCTAGAAAAAAATATTATATTTGCTATCAATTTTGAAGTGTTTAGTGTTGAGACTTGATACTTTGTCTTCTTAACTATTTTGATCCCCTCTTTCCATTTCTGGACATTATTTTTGATAGCTGATTGATTTAAGGTAGGTGTGGTCACGTGACCCCCCAGCTGCAAAGGGCCTATTACAGTAATTAGTCTGATTTATACAATTACAATGTAACATGTCATTTCTTTTAAATATATATTTTTTCTTTTTATACTTTTATTGAATATATATATAATGATAGTTAAATTATGATTTTTATGATAGTTATTTTGATTTCAAAATTATTAAACTTTGTGTGCTTTTAATGAATAAAAAAATTAAATACTTGTTAAATTATTATTACTTATTGAATTATTACTTATTAAATCGAATCCCAAAACTCGAATCCCAAAACTCGAATCCCAAAACTCGAATCCCAAAACTCGAATCCCAAAACTCGAATCCCAAAACTCGAATCCCAAAACTCGAATCCTAACTCGATTCCTAACTCTGCTGCTAGTTTGTCTCACGTTTGTTGTCATGTCTTTGGGTTGTACATCAAACTAGACGATCATGGATCGCTTACGTGGGCTTCCTGTAGCTGCTACAATGGTCAGCTGCCGCCATTGAGCTATAAGTATTTCATTTTCCCAATACAGTCTTTGTTTGAAATAAGGTGAAATAAGTCAAGACAGAATTAAGTTAATATAAGTTATTTATTACATCATAAGTTTTTACCGAACTGAACTCTAAGTATAAACTTCTTTAAATATCCTGTCTTTCTCAGTTAAGTTTTCAATAATAGCTAGCTCGACTTTACGCTTTAAGAGCGTCTATGTTAAAATATGCAAATTCGATCCGTTAGATTTMAATAAATTTGTCCTGAAAGGTCACATAAGCAATAGTAAACGGTACGGTCTTTGCAGTTTTGTCGGTATTGTATAACTTTGAGTAATATTTTGATCGTTTGAATCATGTAAGAACTATGTTCGAATCTCGTATTAAGTACTGAAGACCTTTGAGTTAATGGAGCGGCACGCTCCGAAAGTTACGCTTAGGGACCGTTCATAATTTACATGGGGTCGGGGGGTGGGGGGATTTTTTTTGCACAACATGCGAAATTTCTCTCTGGCCCACCCCCTGGAGTATAACATTTGCTTTGTGACCCACCCCCAGTCGACAKGTTAGGGTTATTGAGCTTGATTGTATATACCTTTCAGTCTGAACGTCTTACAATTATTAGTGTTACAGACTAGTGTAACTAGCTGGTAAAAAGAATYAAAGAGATCAAAGCTACTGTTACGTCAGATGCCATTAAAAATTGTACTTCCAATGTTACATGACGTAT